AATTACAGATTGCACCTACAAAAATACCATACGAAGTAAAAGGTTAGTTTTAATGTTAGAAAAACCTCTAATTGATCATCNCAACATACAAGATAGTATGAATAAATAAAAAAATAAAAACAAAGATTGAGTCTCAGAAATAGTGCATCTTGCAACATATTATCTAGACCGTCCATTTTCAAGATTTTCATTTATTTATAGATTTATTTAATTTTAACTATTTTTGAAGTTTAAAATTTTATAATTAGATATAAAAATAGATTTTTAGATAATCCTAAGAATTTGTTATGATAAAATTTGGAGGTATGCCTTAATTGGATTGTTTAAGGTTGCAACCTTATAGAAACCACACCCTATATATCTATATGTATACGCATATATATCATCATCATCAGGATTCACGAAATAGATGTGGAAAAAGTACCTAACACAGCTCTCCTCCTTTCTCCGGGCTTGGGACCAGCCATATATATGAGTTATAATGGTAAATGGTACTTTGAATTTCACCATCATCATATGAACTTTATCCGAACTATTTGGGCTCAGCTACATGAATCCTGTTCTGCCATTCCACTCTATCAAGGGCCATACACTCGGTCAGATCATAAGTCACCATATCTCTTCTCACTACTTCCATCTATGTCCTTTTAGGCTTTCCCCTTGCCCTTTTAGAGCCTTTCACTTGAACCAAGTCGCCCCTTCTAACTGATGTTTTAGGTCGATGCTGCACATTTATAGACCACCTAAGTCAACTTTCCCTCGTCTTATCACTTATTGGAGCCACACTAGCATTCTGTCCCAAACCTTTGACTGTAAACGACTCTTAAATATTCACAAATGACTTCTGATTATAAATTTGTTCATGTGTTTTAAAAAGGGTATTTATGTCATTTCCAAATCCCTCCTAAAATCACATTCAAAATCAAAAGGGTTTATTCATTTTTTGAATCATGTTTGAATTTTGGAAGCAGTAGATAAGCAAATTTGAACATTTTTCCTCATTTGCTCTTTACCATGATAAAGCTTATAGCAGGTTAAGTGGGTATGGGAAATTTATCTTGGTTATTTAATTTTTTTTTTAGAGGAAAAAAAGCTATTGCCTCATTTTTGTTAATCTTTGAACATGTATGGTTTTAGTTGGTTAAAAACGTAATTGGGATGACGTTGCTTCTTTTCTGTGAAAATTCAGGTTAATGATGGATCATGTCTTTCCAACATGCAGTGTGTTATGAACGATGATGCAGAAGGTTATGATCAGGTATGATTTTTATGCAGATGGTTCCTTTTTCTCAAGATAAATGATCATACATCTTTCTTGTACACATTTTTCTGAAAGTGGAATATTGTAGTAGTAACATTGGCATGGAAAGGAATGTGTAGGGTTTGATAAACAAGAATGATAGATTGGGATGGCTAACTGTGTTCAGGATTCTGAGGTACATGTGGTTTTGTTGGAAGAAATAGAGATCCGTGTCTTATTACAGAGAGATTAAGTCTGGTAACAGCTGTTGCTTAAGTCTCCAGATTTCTTGCTGTCAAAACCACATATGAGATCTGAGTTATATTAAGATCTTTTTTTTCCCCTCATTTTTCTCTCTTAATAGTTAATAAATTTTTTACTAAACTAAAGCCTAAGTTAAAGTGGACAAGAAATCAGACTCAGACAACGAATACAACCTTGGATTCTGTAGCCATCCCACCCCACCATTAGAATACTGTTACTGGAATGTATTACATAAAAACCTAGAATGCCAATTAAAAAAAGTGAAGAAGAGCATTGCTCTTAGCAGGGATGTTTCCAGTATCCAGTCCTGGAGCTGTTGTTCATACAACATATACCTTGGGACGACATCAGGGTTTTGCACTTGTATTTTAGCGTGTATGCTGTAAAATTATATCATTAAACGGGATAATGTTAGTGTCAAGTTTCTAGTTTCAATGTGGATGTTGCTAAATTTTGTGGGGATTGAACTTTTCTTTGATCTGACATATAAATTACCGTTTGTTGTTTTGTCCCATGTAGACTAGAATGTAATTGAGTGATCTTTATATTGATGTTCTTGTTTGTCCTCTATGCAGTTGAGCTGTATGGATATTATACTTTTTGCTTTTAAGGCTCCACCTACCTGAAGTTTCAGATAAATTTCCTTGATGTACAAAATTTCCTTGTTTGGTGCTAGGTCTTATCTGGCTCGGTCAATACTGGTGCATCTGTATGTATAGAGGGGATACTGGTAAAGAGTCAAGGATCGAAGCAGAAAGTGGAACTGCAAATAGAGAAACTCATTATTGTGAGAATAAACTCTTGCATGTTTCATTTAGGAGTAATTCTGTTTTACAGTTATGATAAGCCATCATTGAATTACAACTTGCCATTTCCATAAAAGTGACTTAACTTTGCTGAATGCCCGTTTTCTCTTTGATATTTGCTTCTCAGCAACATGCTTTGGTATTGGTTGCATGTTGTTATCGGAATCTACCTGCAAATCAAATGATATTTGCATACCTTCCATATTGCTAACATTTTACAGTTTAACCTATGTTTATCAATGACTGCTTTCATACTCTCTAGATTGAATGGATTATGTTAGGTGACATTTCTACATGACATTGTAATGGCATTTTTCATGCAGGCTGGACCACATTTCTACAATATGCGCTCTAGAGGTATAAAGCATCCATCTTAAAGATAGATGCCAATAGGTGGCCCATCTAAAAACAAGTGAAACTAACGGTCCAAATGTTTTTAATATAATTATTATTTCTAGTTTTCAATTTTTTTTTTCATATTCATGATCTCCATGTTAAAGATTATATATTCTCTAAAAATTAGGATCAAATTATATTTAAGAAATATATTTATTGCCAAGCCCGCATTTCTACAATATGCGGGCTGGCTGCATAGAAACCTTGTCCTATATATATATATATATGTGTGCAATTTCATGTTGTTAAACCATAGGATACCTCTGTTTTCTGTGGTTATATGCGTAGTTGGTGATCATATGAAACAAGAAAATACTGAAAAGCTCTCCCTAACTGAAGAGAGCAAGGCAATATATAATAGATGTGGCTATATAAAATTCAAGACTATAAAATAAAAAATTTTCTCCTTTTCTTTATTATTAAATCTGATAGAATTGTCACAATACACTGCTGTAAATAGAAATTAAGACCCTAAATACAACCTAGGATCTTTCTTTTTATAGTTGGATTTAGTAAACACAATCCAAGAATAAAAACCAAGTTTTCATTAACAATTAGGTACGAGTAATGTTCCTGGAAATTCAGAATAAACATGCAAATATGACTGAAACATAAAACTAAATAGCCAGAAAATTTATTGGACTATAGGACTTAGTACACCCCACACTTGATTTCCTGACCAATGACACACTTCGATCCTATGGGTCTTATTGAATTTTCAGAACCAGCAAGCTTCCTTAAGCAATAGCTCTTAAACTAGGGATTTGGAGAGCATGTATTAGAACCCCTTGGGAACAAATTAGGGCATGCCTCAAAGGCTCCTCCCGTTTCTAGGCTGGGCATGCCTCTCACTCTTAACCTCAATCAGAGTATTGTGTGCCACCCCTTTGAACTTTATAAGGTGGCATTTGACCTCGAGAGAGAAAGAGGAGGGAGAGAGGCTAGAGAGAGAAAGAGTTGGGTGTGGAGAAGAGTGTTAGGAGAGAGAGAGGCTAAGAAAAATGTGTAGAATGAGAAGGGGGATTCACCGCCTTGTATAGGCCTCAAGACTCCCCTAGGTATGCCTATCAAATTATGACTCATTTCGATTGATAAGAATTTTAGGAAATTTGTGGGGCGAGATAAAATAAATCTCAACCATCCATTCCATAAATTAGCCATTATGATTTAGGGAGGAATATTAGAAATTTTATCCCTTAATATTTGACCCATATCCACCTCTAGTCTAATTAGGGCTAGACCAATCTAAAAACCTTCTAGAGCTTCCTAATTTATCTCTTTAAAATTGTAAGAGTCAAAATAAAATATTTTGGTCAAATCCATCTCAAAATAAGTCCCACAAAATAGGCACATTACGCACATAATCTTTTATTTTAAAATATGTAACTTAAAAACATATTTTAATTCAAACAAAAGTTCCAAAACAAGAAAATAGAGGGGTGTGCCACCCCTATGGGTGACTTGTGGGCCCCATGGGTTTCACGCCCCACCCATGGGGTGTGGCACACGTGGGGCTAGATCCAAGGGCCCCACATGTGTCCCTACACACTATAATAATTTTAGAAATACCCTTTTATAAGAAATTTACAGTAGAAATTAATTTTAAAATTTCTTAATTTTTTTCAAAATTCATAATAATATTTCTAATATTGAAAGTAAAATATGTAGAAGTGGACTAGTCCCAATGGGTTAGAATAAGTAGCTAGAAGGGAACTGCACTCGAGCCAGTGACCATGATCCACAACTATCTTCTCAAACCAACCCAAAGAAACCCATGACCCATAGTCTCATGCAAGAGCTCATGATTGGTTCGTCAAAGCTGACCAATAAACAATAGAACCATGATCTGGGGATGTGGATTTCAATTTTACCCTTTAAGAACAAGCTAATCACATTTCACTACAGTGCAAATAGGGACTCTCTGTGTGTACATACACGTATTCCCATTTAGGTTTGCTTCCCAGTAGTGCGGTTGTGTGTGGAAGTTTGTTGAGCATTTAGACATCGTTTTCACAGGCCCGCATCCACACAAGAGACCACAATGCTGTCCTAGCCTACAATCCATCCATGGGCATCTCTTCCACCTCAACAAGGGATGATCCTCTTTAAACCCTTTTCGGTAGTGCCACATGCCCAAGGGCAAGGGTTTTGGACATGACTCGGGCTATAGACCGCTTATTCCTTGGTTACTCAAAACATTACACAAACTCCAACCGAAACGTATAATCCATTATAAATGTTAATTACATTCTCTCACGGCCTTTAAAAGCCACAAACCCCAACAATATACAAGATATTGTAACTAATAGAACTATCTTATAGTAGAGAAATTTGATCAGAGATGCACGGGGATTGAGAATAGCTTGCTGGTGTGTTGTGATGGTCTAGTCTAGCTCTGTTTTTTTTGAGAAATGTTTTATTTTCAACATCTTTAGGTTCAGAGTTTCTTGTGTGATGATGTGCCTTCGGTGGTTTGATGAAAGGTGGCTCTTTCTAAGAAATGGTGTCCATGAAAGTTTTATTGTGTAGTGGTGGCCCCTCGTTCTTGGGTGAAGGTGGGACTTACCAAAGAATGGTATGAAGCATTTGTTTGCTGAATTTCTACTTCATATCAATGGTGTGTGGGGCCCTCATGTGGCTTTTTCTAACCAGTGCTTTATGACTTGGCTTGCGATTGGGAGTGAATCGGGAGCAAGATAGGGATTACGAGCAAGGGGATCGTGAATGGCTAGAAGATTCCTATGGTTGGGAGTGTTGTCCGTTTTGGCCATCCATCCGGAATAAGGAGATACAGACCCCTAAATGTTATGGATCTCGATTCTAACCTTTCAAAGATCTCAATCCCAACCTTTTAGGATCTCGATACCAACATTTTGGGGTTATTGCTCCTAACCTTAAGAGAATATATAGTATATGACTATACATATTCTTTAAAGTAGAGATCTCTTTATTTATAGCCAGCAAGCAATGCAATTATAGTTTTGTTTTTTTTGATAAAGGTTGACTTTTTGTAATTATAAGGTAAAAAAAAACATTTGGCTATAACCTAAAGACTACACTCCCACAAGTTGGGTGCTCAGACAAACAAAAGTAATAAGAGAAGGAAGGAAGAAATAGAGATAGAGGGAGAGGTAAGAAGTAGAAAAAAGAGATATACAACCAGAGAAGAGAATGATCTTAGTCCAACAGATTCCCAAAAGGTACCCTTTCCAGGGGACAGAGCATTAACAAAAGTCCAGCCGAGAAGGTGTCGTAGCTTGTAACGTGAGGACAGATGCTGACGTTGGTTGACATCATAGACTTGAAGAGGGACAGATGTTGTCCTTGATAATTTAGTGAAGTTGGCTATTTTTAGCATGTGGCATGCTCAAGTTGTATTGCTTGGCTGTGGCAAGATGGTTCTTGATTTAATATCCATTTCTTGTTGGTGCAATTGTCTAGCCCTTTTTTTGTGAGGTTAGTTGCCTAGTCCATGATATTAGCACTATTGTAGAGAGGCCAGTTGTCTTGAGTATATTCTATTGCATTGAGTATATTCTATTGCATTCTTTATGTTTGAACATTAATTTTTCTGATACACGTGTTATTTATAAGTTTTGTTGGTCTTTTCTCTACTGGACTTCTTTTCCATATTTATATTTTTCAGTTAGTAGAAAAAAAAAGGGAAAATATCCTATTATCCCCTATTTTTAACTTCAATATCTCATTAGACCCAAGAATTGAAAATATTATTTTCAAGCAAAAAGACTCCATCTTTTCTATCTTCTAACCCCCTAAACCCTTTTGACCATGTATTATTGACCTCATCAACTTATGAAATGACTCTATATATATATATATATCTCTCTCTCTAAAACTCCATATCTCTCACATCATTCTCTCTCTATCTCAAAACTCCATCTTTCTAAAACCCAAACTCTATCTCTTACTCTCATATCATTGTCTCTCTCTCTCTCAAAACTCCATCTCTCTCCCTAAAATTCAAACTCCATCTTTGTCTCTCTAAAACTCCATCTCTCTCTAAAACCCAAACTCCATCTCTCTCTCTCAAAAATTCCATCTCTCTCTCTCACATAAGAAGGTGTGCTCGTGTTCAAGCTCAAGCTAAACCCTTGGCTGGTAAACTCTTAGAGAAGCAAAGAGAGAGAGATGGAGTTTTAGAGAGAGAGAGAGATGGAGTTTGAATATGATATCATTTTAGTGTTTGTTTGGGTCAAAACTTTATGGTCAAAGGGATCCAGGAGGTTGTAAGATAGCAAAGATGGAGACCTTTTGCTCACAAGTAATATTTTTAATTCTTGGGTCTCATAAGATATGGAAGTTAATAATAGGGGATAAGGAGATATTTTCCACAAAAAAAAGGGTCTAAGAAGGGTGAGGACCTTAAACTTTCCCTAAAATCATCTCAAGCTCAGGTAAAGGAGGTGGGTTGTGCTAGGTAGGCTGCCAACGTAAAACTTTGCCAAAACTTTTCATGAATCTTGAATGCATACCACTATTTGTATAGCCGACAACAAATAGTTGAGAAAAGGCTCTAATGATGTTGAGTTAGTAGAAAAAAAATGTCAACCTCAAGGATGGTGTGTTTGGGATGAGGGTTGATTGTAATTGTAATCACTAATGTTATATTGGATTGGATAATGGATATTGAACTCGCATGGTTAATAATCTCTAATCTGTTGTCTTTCAGTTGTTATTCCTCTCTAATTTGTAGCCTACTATACACTATTTCAATTCCGTTTTGGATACTTGAATATACCCTGTGTTCCTTTTCAATCATATGTTTGTTCCTTTCATAGACTTTGTTTACGCTGTTCATACTAGATAGGATTGGCCATTGACAATTTTCTTCTTCCATAGGTTGGGCAATGTGATCCTATATCCTTTCCTATCCAAAAAAAGAGGGCAAGCAAAGAATATCTAAGAACCATAGCCCATCTTCGTCCTCGGACAAACACATTCGGTGCAGTATGCTTCTAGTTAAATTATAAATAATAGCTTTGATTTTGAATTTTAGGTGCTTCGAAGTCTTGATTGCTAAGGGCACTCTTCGCTATACTTTGGTACTTTAATTGAACGATGTTATTTAGGCTTCTATTGGCCAATAATTTATTGAAAATTATTGTCAAGAACACATACAAAGTCATTAAAAGGAGGTCAAAAGATTCCAATTAACATTAAAGGTTCACTCGGGTACCACAAAAAATATCTTAAAAAATACCCAAATTGCCCCTGTTTAGGGTTGGAAACCATGACCAAGCATGGGCATTTCAGTAATTTGACCCACCCTGAACAAGTAGGGTACTCCCGTCGCTTGGTTAGGTCCTTTTGGTAGGCCAAATTATTAAAATACCTCTTCTTGTTCATGGTTTCCAATCCTGAACAAGGGCAGTTTGGGCATTTTTAAAGATACTTTTTTGAGGAGGTACCTTAGTGAAAGAATTTGAAAAGTTGACAACACTCTAGTTAGGGGTGATGTACATGGGCCCGACCCGGGACCCAAGGGGTAGACCCGATTTGGGTCCGGGTATGGGTAAAAAATCGGACCTGGTCCAAATCTTGGACCTGAACACTATTCAGGATTGGGTCCAGGTTCAATTCCGGTAATATTTTTTGGTTCCCAATATATGAAATATATTTAAATATCATTAAATATGTAGATATTTTAATTTTTGGGTTGGATCCGAATGGGTCCAAGTCCTGTGAATTTGGGTCCGGGTCCCATATCGACCCGACCTGTTGCCACCCCTAACTCTAGTGCAAATTGGGATATTTTGGCCTCATTAATGACTTTGTAAGGGGTTTTGACCCCGTAAAAAGATTATTTTGTCAGAGACTGGTAATCTATTTTATCTGATGTTAATTTAGATGGTTGATAATTTGCATTGGCACTGTAGGTTATGAGAGTAAGGAATGCCTTGGCATATGCTACTCATAAGTTTTTCCAAGAAAATGGATTTGTTTGGATTGCTAGTCCAATTATTACTGCTTCAGATTGTGAAGGTGCTGGTGAGCAGTTCTGTGTGACGACATTGGTACGTCTATTAATGTATTTCTCTACTTGTATGGAGCTCTGGTTATATATCGTTTGTCATGTTTATCATGATGCAAATGTCGGTACAAATGCACTAGCCAACAGTGATGTGATCCTTGATAGTTTGTTTATGGATTGGACTGGACACATCTTTGAGATGCCACCTTGATATCTTTGTGACGGCTGCCATTAACTTTGCACTTACAAAAAAAAAATTATTAAAGGCACAGATTTTTACAGACAACCTTGGTGTCCTTATTCTGATGTCATCCTTCCATACGACTAAATATGAATTCATGAAAATTAACCTTCCCAATAGGTTGGTTTGGGAGGTCCTAAGTCACAGGTGGGAGGAATTGGTTGGTTGTCACAACTAAACCTTCGCTTATAGTTGTCTTACATTGGGACCTCTTAGTTTTCAACTTATCTACAACGTTTAGAAATGAGGAGAAGTGGATATTGATTGGTTCATGGCTTCATGCAAATTTGCTTGTAGGGGCCCCTTTTAGGATTTGTCATGTATTGTTCAAGCCTGTGCCATTGATGATCTTGTGTGTAATCTTGAGGGAGAGAAATAATGGAATTTTTTGAGAAGTGACGGTGGTGGTAGAAGAGTCAATCATGATGAGGATTTGCTAATAAGGATTAACCAGATTGAGGTTTAAGGGGTGCAAAGTTGAGGATCTAGAGAGAGAATGGAGGACCATAAGAAGCTCACCAAAGAGGGCTATGAAACTACATCAGACTTGCAGGGTTTCACAGTTCTAAGTAGTTTATTAGGCCCATGTCTCATCATTCAGTGATGTTTGCTTCTATCCGTTAAGTATGAATTTGACAGTGGCACAATTCAGTATTGGTGTCAAATTGATGCATATCTGATGTTTAGACTTTAGTAAAGTTTGTATTTTCTAATGTTTTTTAATATTTTCTTGAAATTCAGTCTTGAAGTAATAATCAATTCTAGTACGTTAATATTGGCTTCTTGTTTTTGTTCATATCATAGTTTCCCAGCTCTCGAGAGGGACATAATTCAGGAGTCAGTGACATACCAAGTACAAAGGATGGCTTAGTTGATTGGTCCCAGGTATGCCTTTAGACTTTCATTTATTTTCTTGGTACTTTCTTTCTACAAACCCGCAAGTATTAGAGGCTTGGAATTTTGTTCACCAATCTCATCTACTTGAACGCACATGTAGCTCTTTACTAAAAGTTTCGGTTGAAATTATTGAAATCTAAACATTAATACTAAAATATTTTTGCAAGGGAGGCATGTGCGTAATACTGAATACTATTGCTAGTGTAATTTGTCATAATTAACCAAGCAGTTGAGTAAATGAAGCTGCTCATTCATACGTCGCTGAATCTGCTTATTCTTCTTAACTACATTACTTATAATATGATGGCCAAATATGATGAACAGCTGTTTGTGAATGTTAACAGTGAAATAAATGCATGTAGAAAGAAAAACCAGTTAAATAAACATTGTCAGGTTCTTAATCAAGGGCCAGAAGCCTTAGAATATTCATTGTCTTAATAATTGCCGGTTTTATGGCATCTGCTTGATTTCAATCTGCTGGATCAAGTACAATGAGACGTATCATTATTTTGGTAGTCCTGGCTAAGGCATGTGCTTGGGACTTGAGCAGATGGGCTCCTTTCCATTTGATCTGCAGAATTAGTGCGATGATAACTCCAAGCTAGATGGATGCCTTTGATGTAATCATAGTACACCTCTTTAAAGTTTACAATTTTTACCAATCAGATGCTATTCCATGAATTTATACACTGGAGTTGGAACAATGTCACACTAGGCTTGCTCGACCGTTTTCATCTTTTGAATGACAAAGTATTCATACTCCATTCTTCTATTGTTAGGATTTCTTTGGAAGACCTGCCTTCTTGACAGTTTCTGGACAACTGAACGCGGAAACATATGCAACTGCCCTTTCTGATGTAGACATTTTCTTTCACCTCCTTTCCTCTTATTGTAGCCTATCTGCTCTTATAGCCCTGTGCTTCTTATCAATTTGTCATTATTTCACACCTGATTGGTCTTACGGATATTCAGGTATACACTTTTGGTCCAACTTTTCGAGCAGAAAATTCCAACACGTCAAGGCATTTAGCTGAGTTCTGGGTATTATTACTTATTTGATTTGTTGCGTACAATTTCCTAAAATATGTGATTTTAGCTTCATTTTGTCGTTTTCAGGTGTTCTTATGTTACGGATCCATGATAACTCTTTGTTCGTAATACAGATGATCGAACCTGAACTTGCTTTTGCTGATCTTGACGATGACATGGCCTGTGCAACTGCCTTTCTCCAGTATGTAGTAGGTCACTGTTCATATCTGCTATCTACCTTGTGATTAATTATTAAGTTTTATAACAGAAAACAGCTGTACTTTTTTAAAAACAGAAACTCAAATTTACTTGACTACCCAATTAAAAGGAAACTGGATTTACTTGCTCTCTTCTAATTATGAAAGCCCTGAAATGGTTTGGGGCTTTTAACTTATTCTGAATTTTCATGCTGCAGGTAAGATATGTTCTTGAGAATTGCAAAGAAGACATGGACTTCTTTAATACTTGGATTGAGAAAGGGATTATCCGTCGATTAAGTGTATGTGAAGGGAATAACTTATATGATGATCCCTATGGGTTATTTCTCGTTTTAAATGGTTCTTTATTGAGCATGCAATGCTTACCTACATGATGACTAGTTTTGTTTTGTTTTGTTTTCTTTTTTTCCTTTTGTTTTCTTTTTTTCCTTTTGTTTTCTTTTACTTATTGCAACCTTCTTCCTTGTGATTAATTGACATGAATTTCTTCCACTCATTTTTTATTCATTGGGCCAATTATTATTTACTTCTTTGACAGGATGTGGCTGAAAGGGACTTTGTGCAGTTGACATACACTGATGCCATTGAACTGCTTCTAAGAGCAAACAAGAAATTTGAGTTTCCGGTAATTCATGATCTTCAATCCTTGTTCTTTTTCCACTCCAATCTATCAAAAAATATTGTTAAGTAACCTCAGAATATGATTTATGATTTCATATACATCAATATTATGATTTACCTTCATTTCTTTGTAGATATGGTTCTACCTTTTCTCATATGGCAGTTGATAATAAATAATATTGATCTTTTTCTAAAAGAAATGGAATTTGGAGCTTGTCCCATATAGAGCTTGTGAATAGTTAGGCAAGGCACTTTTCTCAAAAAAAATAGTTAGGTGAGGCACTGCATTGGGAGCCAAGGTAAGCCAAAGCATGAGGTATCATAACTTTTCAGGAATATCCATAGTTTGTAAAGAAATAAGAGAATTTTTAGATAAATAGAAAGTAAATGATATTATAATTTAGTTATAAAGAAGAATAAAATTCAATTATTATGCATTAATCTAGTGTATGATTAAGAGTCATAGGGTTAACGTCTATATGGTCTAGGTACTCGAGTCTGTAACTCGGCAAAGTCACCGGAAAATTTATCAGCCAAGGGATTATTGAGAAATACTTGGTGGGTATTTTAAGAAATAGGGTTTGAGTTTCTGAAGTTGGATATTGAGAAACTTGAAGGGAGAACTTCTGTGAAAATTATTTTTAGGTGAACAGAATGTTTTAGGGGGAAAAAAAAATTCTTGTGTCTTTTGGAACTGTTTTTCAGAATATGAAAATTTTAGTCTGATCGTCACCCAAAATAGGTCTTAAGAAGGGCTGGTTAGACTCCTTTCTGGGCTTTAAACAATATTTGAAAGTGGAGCTATATGCTACGGCTTTTTTTATTAATCTTTTGTTATTGAGTCAATAAAATATTCTGGCAGAAAAAATTATGGAAGTTGGACCTTTAATAAGTAATGCATTAAAGAATCTAATATAAACTTTATTCTCAATGTTCCTTGTGGGTTCTAAACATAGGAGAGCTCGAAAAGATAAAAAAGACCAGGACTTTGGAGACATAAGGCTTTCCAAAGAGAGAGGCCTAGGTAGGGGTGGCAATGGACCCAATCAGGGGCGGGGTATGGGTAAAAAATTGGACCCAGCTGGTCGGGTCCAGGTCCATGTGGACCCAACCCAAATAGTGTTAATATTTAAATAGTATTTAATATATATAATTTAAATAATAATTAAATAAATATAACTATATATTTTTAGTTGTACTAAATAATACATGTATATATTTAATTATATAAAATATATATAGGTGTTTTTTATTTTTTGGTCAGGTCCAATCGGGTCTGGTCGGTTCCAAGTATGGGTCCCATAAATTTTTTTTGGGTTTGGGTCCGGGTCCACCCCTAGACCTAGGGTCTAAGCCTGACATTTGCAATACTAGTATCCCAAGTCCAAATCCTACTTCTGAATCACTCCCAAAGAAAGAGTGCTAGGGTTCGGGTTGACAGAAAAAGGTTATCAACAAGCTTGCCTCGACTGGTTTATTGTGAGTTGTGTAATTTTCAGGAAGAAGACGTGCTATGGGAGAGTCTGCTTAAGGTTTTTTGTCTTGTCGTATTGGATGAGACTTTTCATCGGAGCTATCCTAGGAGCTATACTAATTTTTTCTCAATGATGTGATACTGTTTTATTTCTAGTTAAAATGAGTCAACAGACCCTCTCAACATATTGTACGTGATTTTTTACCACATGGTCTCCATTCATTCGCTGTGTCATATTCTGGCATGTTATTTAGGGCATGACTAGAACATTGGTGACTCAGGCTCGGTCTCACTCGAGTTAGTTAGATCTGGCAGGTTGCCCCATCCAGTTAAAAAACACTGAGTTTGGCTAGGTCTCGCAAGTCAAAGATCCTCTGTCTATATTTCACAAAGACTTACCCTAGTCAAACTGCAGGCCTAGGTGAGCCAAGCCCAAGTCCAGGCTTTTAATCACTGATTGAGGGAGTAATTTAAATGGACCTATCTGGAGAATGGGGGGTTATAGTCAGCAATAATGTTCCCTGACAAGAGCATCAAGGAAGTGTATATATGCCTTCTTCATAGGTGATGCTCAATCTCAAGTTCGCTTGATTCAGGTCTTACAGTAATGTGTTCGGCAAAGTTTATAATGTGTTGAAACTTTAGGGGTCACAATTCGGAGTTTCCTTCAGTGTGTGATAGCGAAATGGCATGTCAAGGAGTTTGTGGGAATCTCTCCCTTTGCTCTAAATGTATGTTACAGATGAACCACTTAAACTGTCCATGTTCAGCCAAAATTCAAGCCATTAAAACATGGAAAGAAAACAGAAATTGCAAATATTCAGTAAGTTCTGTCCCCTTGGGTTTTCTTTAATTCTTTCCCTTTAGTGTTTTTTTTTTCTGGAAAACCAGCCAGAATTTCCAAACCATTACGGGCAGTTTACTTAAATTTGGATTTCGAACTGAATATTAATAAAATTTTGGAACTTGATTGACCTGGAACTGCAATCATTTGAAGTTATGTGTCCCCTTTTTAGTCAAGTACTCAAGCGTCCTTGAGTTTGGGAAGCATTTATCTGCATGGCGATGGATTACATTTTTCCTGTTAACCTTTTGATAGGTACTCATAGACAGTTGATATTGAATGCATGTGGATGCAGATGCTTGAGCCACTTGAATGTCATTTGACAGCAATGCCTTTGGTTGATGAAAGCAATCATTTTTACTCTTATGATCATTTCTCATTACAGGTAAAGTGGGGGTGTGATTTGCAAAGTGAGCATGAACGTTACATAACTGAAGATGCAGTCGGAGGTTCTCCTGTAATCATTAGGGACTATCCTAAGGTACGACTTGAAGTGATCTTATATCACAAAAGTGTTGTTAAAACTGGATCAGGCCAACAAGTTGGTTTGCAGCCCAGTCCCATTTGTTGCACGTCATATACAAAATGAGCTTAAGAAGTTGTAGCTTAAGAAGTTGTCTTATGCTATTATTCTTAGTCAAAATATAGGAAATACTCATCTACATCTGCCAGAAATTGGTGATATAAATCCAGTTGGTAGATTATCTGATTGACGATGCACACAGCTGAATTGGATTGGCCTAGGACTGCTCATCTAGTAGCCAAACTAGCTAGTAAATCCAGTTTTTGACAAACATTGCTTTATTAATATGTGCTTAAAAGAGTCTGTGTGTGTGTGTGTGTGTGTGTATGTGTGTGTATGTGTATTTGTATGTGTGTCCGTGTGGATGCCCATGCATGTGTGTATAGAAATTGGTCAGTATTTATATTTGAATGCATGAAAACATATTTTGCACTTTTCAGGATATCAAGGCTTTCTATATGCGGGAAAATGATGATGGAAAGACAGTTGCAGCCATGGACCTGTTGGTACCTCGGGTAATCCCAGGAGTCTTTGTTTCTTTACTTGTGCTCTCAGGCCTTGAAATTTTTATCTAATTATTGATCTAAAATGCTACTAATTGCATTATAAAGAGTGTTCAAATTCTATTCATTTGTGAAACTTCTTCATTCACTTCTTTAAATCTTTATGGAAAATTATTCGATCTATAACTGTCACAGCAACTAGAAAGTTATGTCTGTATGTAATATATGCTGTGGATGACGAGGAGCCATGTTTTTTGTTTGTGGGTAAGGAACCATGTTTCCTTAAACATGATGCATCATTGGCTCAGACATGACAGGCTGTAATGTGATATATGCCTAAGTTCACTAGGATTATGAAGCTTGCATATCTGTTATGGTGCAACAGTTAGCAATTCACTATACCAAATATGGGCTCTGGGGAAGATTATTTTTTTTCTTTTTGATCCATAGGTGTACAGTTAATTAATATTATTGGATGCTTCAATATTACTGACATACATATGCAGAATTTGGAAAGTTACCTCCCCTAGGCGCTTATTATGATGGACTACAAACTCTATTGGTGTGGAAATCCATTTTTAACACTGTAACTCATGCTCATCTATTATACTGATCGGCTTTTAGCTTTTAGCTTTTAGCATATATGTTCTGTTTCAGTCATAAATTCGTTTTTCAGGTAGGGGAGCTTATTGGCGGTAGCCAACGTGAAGAGCGCCTTGAATTTCTTGAAAATCGTTTGCATGAATTGGAGCTCAACAAGGAAACTTATTGGTGGTACCTTGACCTCCGCCGTTTTGGTTCAGGTTAGCTGTCTTTTTCTTTAAAGATTGGAACATAGCTTGGACCATGCTCCTAGAAGAATGCATGTCTATCAATTTTATAAGGAAGATTGATCACAGTGAACCTAAGAGGAACCATTTAACATTTGGGTGTGGTTTCTATAAGTTTGCAACTTTAAACAATCCAATTAAGGCGCACCTCCAAATTTTATCATAACATGTAATTTTGGTGTAAAATATTCTTAGGATTATCTGAAAATCTATTTTCATATCTAATTGTAAACTTTTAAACTCCAAAAATGGTTAAAATCAAGGAGATTTATAAACATATGAAGATATTGAAAATAGACAGTTTAGATAATGTGTTGCAAGATGCTCTATTTCTGGGACTCAAAATTTTTTTTGTTTCATATTCATACATCTCGATGTTGAGATGATCAATTAGAGATTTTTTCAACATTAAAACAACCTTTTTCTGATGGATTTTTGAGGTGCATCTTTATTTCTACATTTTAAGGTTGCAACCTTATATAAACTTTTTCCTTAACATTTTACCCATTTCTGTTGATCTAATTTCGAAAAGCGCATCAAAATACACATCATCGTAAGCTGGAACAGTTGAAACTGGTTAAAATATTGTAGTTGATAAGTTAGTTGTATTTTGATAGATTGCCCATGTTATAAATACCACCAAACCAGGCTGGCTGGTCTTGCCGGTTGATCTGGAAAGTGGACCTAGTACTGGTCTAGTCTGATATTTGAACTGGAAAAGTTAAAAAAGGCTCAAAACCCGCTGTCAAACAGGTTCAACTGGTTTTTTCCAACTTATTTTTAATATTTATTTATTTTTTCCTTTTTCTTGGACTGGTTTGACCAGATGAATAGCTGGTCGGACCAATTTAAAATGGATTGGAGCACTCACTGGTTCTAACATTATGTGCTTATTGTCATTCAAGTTCTACGTAGAATAGTTTTTATGAAAGGTCCTCAAATGGTACAAAATACCCTTAAATGCATGTATTTCTTTTACATGATAATAAATTGTCTTTTGTATGACAAAAAAAATATTGTATTTTTTATGACAAAACGTGCTTTACCTGTTGCTAAATGCATGAATTTCGAATGCTTTGCATTATCATCTTCCATTAGCTTTGTATGATCAATTGCGGGGATTCCCATGACTATAAGTTGTATTTAATTGAGTTTGGCTCAATTGTGCATATTAATCCATCTATGCTATCAGAAACCCATTTTTTGGGACGTTCAGTACACCAACATTGCTCTACTCGAATAACATACACTTTCTCAGTTTTTCTGCAAAAAATGATAAAGATCGGATGGTTCGTGAGACTAAAATGATAGGTTTTAGGAAGGACTCGGTTTGAATGAATCGGAAGCTCTTGCTTTCAATGAACATTATTTTCTATGTTTTCAAGTTTTATCATGGCCATCTTCATCATTGGAAGTTATAAAGCTTCCCAGTTTCTGAACTTTGTACCCTAAAGATTAATAAGCTGCGCATTATTATTTTTTCTTTCTTTTGTTCTTTTTTTTTTCTCTTCTTCTATATATAAAAAAAATAAGCTGCACATTATTTTCGTACTTGTGCACCTGTCATTTTAGAAATATTGGGAACAATTTTTAATAGTTTTCAAGTAAAACATGGTGCGATGCAATGATGTTGAACCAAGGAATGAAGACCATTCAATCACAATTATGACTCCATGCAGGACCACAAGATTATTCAGCATCACACTGATATATCAATTTCATTAAATAACAGAATGGAACCCTCCTAGATACGTCTTTTCTCAGATTTGCACCCTAACATAAAACACCTTTCCCTTGTTTTTTTGCTCCCTTATATCATATGAGCTGGGAAATATGTATTGTACTCAATGCTGATTGACTTAAACAATGCATGCCATGGAAATTTCTTTATATCATTATCCCTTAAATTTCAAAATAGGTGGTTGTAAGAGTGTCGTTGAATAGACATAAAGTTCCAAAAAAATATATTCTCGGACTTTGTGATTCACCTCAAGCCATCCAATTTGACATCTGATGAGTGGGAATGATTGTGATCTTCATAAGAAACGTAGAAAAAATATATCACATATTTCTCATGGGATTCTGCTATATCTTAAATATTGATAATGAACTTCGAACATCTATATCTGACATGGATGTGTTTCATCGCACTTGGCTGTCTTGCAGTTCCTCATGCTGGTTTTGGGTTGGGTTTTGAGAGGCTTGTACAATTTGCAACCGGGATTGATAATATTAGGGATGCAATTCCATTTCCCCGATCACCAGGTTCTGCTGAATTCTGATTCACAGAGTTTCATTTCCTATTTATTTATCTTTATAGAAATTTAATTGGAGCTCCTCACTTTTGGTCAAAATTTTGTACGATCTATCATGCTGTATCTGTCAAGTTCTACTAATAATAATGTGCTTTCGAAATAATGTGCTTTAGAAATATGTGAATTATGTGATTTAAAATTAAGAAGATCTTCCATCTGTTGTGGAACATCGAACAAATTTATTCATCATGATTAAATGGAATACAATGGTTGGGATACTGAAGGGAGATCTATGGATTATAAATGTGCTTGAAGAAAGTAGTGTCCTAAGACTAAATTGAGATCTTTGAATTTTTGGATGGTCAAATTTAAGTGTTCAAAAACTCAAAATTCAATATCTTTATTTATTTTTAAAATTCAAGTAGGCAGCTTGCTCTGTTTGGAGACAAAAAAAAAAGGATTGAATTGAAAATATCTTTTAGGGATATCAATTTTCCTTGGAGAGACATATCGCAGTACAAGAGCATCTTGATACCACATGGAAGGGTAAAAATAAAGAATTAGAATAATAATGTCCGAAGACTGAATTAAGATCTTTTAATTCTCGTTCAGTTAAATTTAAGTGTTTAAAAAGTCTTTCAAACTTTTATTTTTTTTAAAATACTCATGTGGTGATTTTAAGGTAGGCTCCAAATTTTTTATTGAGACTATATTCAAATAGCCCTTTTACGGGGATGTGTATGTGCTCCCATGGGAGCACCCTATACGCCATCGTGTATTAAAGAGGATCAGTCTTCTGCAAAATTAGGTCCCACAAATGTGATTTATAACCAAGCATGATAAATTATGGCTTTGGTGGCCTTGGCTGTCTTGCAAAGAGGGCATTTGTTTTTTGATAGGTTATATTATTTATTTTATTTATTCATTTTGCGCAATTGAGGGCAAAGATCTTCTAGTCCCTCACTTCCATTACAATTGGCGTGGAATTGCAAACTATCATCATCCCCATCTAAACAAAATCATTACCAAATCCACCAAAAGGAAAGGAAAATTAGTCAAATCTATTGGAGCAACTGAAATCGCCAACGCTCAGAGTAAAACCACTAAAATTAATGAACTTCTCCGGTTATTTCAGGTGAGTCAACCATGAACCTGGTCACTAAATTTAGGCTAAACAAAAAAAGGCATTCGAGCTTTTTGTTCTTTTTTCTTCCTTTTTTTTTTGTTGTTGTTGTTGCATCATAGTTTATATAAAAATAAAATATTATTGGAGATCCCAGAAATTCCCACTTGTTCACTAGGATGTGGTCCTAGTGATATGATTGGTCCGGAGCTGTGGTCAAAGCTCTAGTTAGTTTTACAAGTATAGGGTGGTGAGATCTAGTGCAGTTATGGTTATAAATAAGAGAAAACTGTTTTGATAGGGCTGGAACCCGTCAAAATAAGGGACGCCTTACCTAAAAAACTCTTAGAAAATTGGGGTTGGGCTTCTAGCGTAGAAAGTCCTTTAGATTAATCTCGGTCATGACCATTATGTTACGAGAAAAAAAAGGTTTTCAGGTCCCAAGTCCTAAAAAATAGTGTATATTGTAACATGTCTAGATTGTTTATTTTGCCTTAAAAATGAGTGTTTATGGATCCGTAAGATCTGTACCGATTTTTTAGCCTCAAATTTCATAATTGGTGTTGCAAATTGATTTTAGAGCCACCATGGAGATTTTTAATGTCCTAAGTGTTAGATAAGGATTTGAGGTGAAGTTTTACTTTATTTTCACAAAGACTAGGCCTAACAGAAACTGCATTCATAAATAAAACTCTAGCACAACTCGATAGATCCAAATCGAAATAACATAAAACAATTACCACATGACAGACATGAGCCTCCTATTATTTGTTGGGGCACCTTTAGTAAGTATTTTGCCTTGAATCAATCACCGCATGACAACATAAAAATGCCCTACGAGAATATTAAGCATATAACTGCATCAAGTGCTGCGGCAAGTGTTTTATTTGTATTGTTAAAACTGTTAAAAAGTTTAAACTGATGTAAACTACCGTACTAAACCCTGTAAAACACGCACCTAACATAAAATGGTGCATTTGGTTACGTTTGCCACCCCTTATATGCCATTTTGTTCGATAACCTATGGCACTTTTTTTTCCAAAAAAAAAAAAAAAACCGAAGGGGTAAGAACACCATTCAGAGCAGCATGCATTGTACTAACATTATTGAAGGACTAGGCAAGGGAACGTTGTTCCAAGCTGATATTTTGTCTGTTGTCGACCCTTTTGGGGTGGATACCATAGGGCGTGTTTGTTTTGATGGAACTTTTGAGCAGCGAGAGACCCAAGTTTCAGCAAAATGTCTCCTGCAGAAGCACATGGAAGGCGTATTTACACCCAAAATGGCCATTGTTTATAGAAGCAGCCCCTTCCATTCTAAACCATAGAAGCCACGACTTCCAGGATTTGTAGAAAACCCCCATAGGTTTTTTTTCTTGCGTCATTCTCTCTCTCTCTTACACGACATTTCCATAGTTTTCCAACTATCATTTTTCATTTTTTTAAAGAGCACAGCAAAATCATACCACCAGCAGCAATAATAATGAAAATGAAGACCAAAATGACACTAATGCGATGAGGAGATGACGATATGTTGCCAATACTATAAATCATACAAGGAGCAAGTTAAAAGAACCACAGAAAACTAACAAAATAATCGCCTTTTTTCTTTATGGAGTGCTAATATATAAAAACCAAACGCAAAAGGCCTAACTCAACCCCATATTTGACAGCAATATAAGAAATTTAGTCGGTGAAAACTTGTTGCTCAGTACTTTTTATTTCAACTGTCCCACTAAAAGAAATCGATACCTTTAATCTCTCTTTTGCAGTTTATCAAAGGGATTGTAGACTACGACACCTTTTATTTTTTGTATTTTTTGTACAAAGAAATCACAATCATTTTTTACCATTAGATGTGAAATATAATAATAAAATTGTATCACAATATTCGATAAATTTTATTTTGAATTTTGTAAGCAAACAATGACACGTCCTCGACCACTTATTTTAAATCTAACTCCTTATATCCTCATATCAAAATAAATCATTTCCTTTATCAAACTAACAAACCACAACTTCAAGAATTGCAGAACATTTTTCATTCAACAATAAAAACTATTTAAAACACAAGGCTCGTGTAAGCCATATATGCCTATGTCTTCCACGTAAGGCACTGATGGCAGGATAGCTTGGGATTCCTTTCACCACATCTACTGCTAAGAATCCAAAGCTCGATTTGCGTATCCAATCGTGCGTTGGCATGTAGCCATCCTTAATTCCATTCCCCCTAACTACTATACACACAATTCAAAAGCTCATTCCATAAGGACCCACTTTCATGTTGTTACACTTTCATGTTGTTACGGGCGAAGGATACCGGACTTTCCAATTTCCTTATGTGGCCTTGCTTCTGTGCTGATCCCCTCCACCATTTTACTTAGATCTCCTTGTTATTCCAAGGCTTTGAGCCATGAGGCTATGACTCACAATGCACATTTGTGAACCTGTATTTTGCATCTAGCATGGGCAGAGGTGTTACAACTTTTGAGACCCTTTAACATCTAGTGGGGCTTATTCGTTTATTTAATTTAAATCAAACCCCTTAGTACCTAGTATTTTCCTAACCAGGAACCAGACTCTGTGCTCAGCTAATTGATGTGATTCCTATTTCCATTATCCTTTTCCATTTAATATGCAGGTTTACTCCAAATAAACAAATGAATTATAGCTCGAGGACCAAGGTTAAAACAGTAAGGGCACCAAGCCACTAGCCAGATAAACAAATTGTGTTGAGTGAAGAATATTATAAGGAGATAAACAGGATGCTTAAGAGTGTAAATATTCCTTTCAAGGAAAATGCTGAAAAGCAAGATAATTTAGGCACCAGGATGTGGCCCACAGTAAAAGTAGTCCAGATGCTCAGACTCTATGATGGATAATTGACTTCAATATTCAAAGATTGTGCAACTTGAATAGTGGAATTAATATTCAAACTCTTCTACTGTGGAAGCTCAATAACTTTTGTGATTCTACAAAGCTTCATAATTATATCTAATATCCAGTTTTGTAACTATGTTTACCAACTGTCATCGTAACCTAACTTCTATGGTTTCCAGAAAGTAATGCTTTATTCAAATATTACTCTTTTTACGAAATTGACTGTATTATATTGTTACATGCATCTTTTGTGAGTAAAAAAATGATCATAGCACTGTTGTCTTTAAATAAAGACAGAAAAACCAGGAGCTCAATGGCAAAATTTGAGCTTGGTTAGTACAAAAGAGGAGTCATGACCCGCCTTCCCAAGGCAAAATTGGGGCTAAAATCCCCTTCTTTGTCAAGGATATGTGCGATAACTGTTTGCCTCATGCCAATGTGATGAAAGGAGATGTGTAAGAAGCTACTCAACCAAAAAATTTGTTCAAACACTTGCTCTAGTCTCCAGGGACAGTTGGATTATCTATTGGCCCAATTTATAATGTTCATTGTCTCTCCTTTGACAAGCAGGGAGGAGCCCCACCCCCTATCGAACAATTGAGGCTTCAAGGAAAGCATGAGCTTTGGCCATAGTTGATATCAACAATCCTATTGGTCCCAAATAAGGCAGAAGCATAAAACTAAAGATTTCTCCAAAAATACTACCAACATCTGACCTCCCGACCCAGATTACCAAGAGAGCACCCATCACAATTTAGTTTGAAAGTCGTTCTGGAGGAAACCAGCTATAGTGGATTAGGTATAACCTATTGCTGACCTTGTAATCACTCCCAAATTCACCAAGAAGTCCAATGCAGAGTAATTTTTTGAATTCCTTCTCTGTCTGATGCTCTATAACCGTGGCTTTGGTATTGTCCTCGTTTACCGCAAGCTTTGTTTCTCTTCCTTCAAAAATCTGTATATTTCACTCCAGCCAGATGGCCCACAACAGTGCAAGGATGAAGGCTCTCCAATGAACCAGGCCTGGCACACGTAAGGGAAGCAAAAAGCAGGCTGAAAACAAGGTAATTTCTGGTACAACCCACTGACCCCCAAAAAGATTTAAAACGAAGGCCCAATTCTGAACAATGGAGGAAGCGGCGGTTGAAAGATTCCTCTCTAACATTGCAGGCTTGCACATCAATTAGGCAAATCTATAAGCCTCACCTTTGGAGTTGTTGTACGGCCTGGATCGAATGCATGTCTGTGCTTTTGTGACTCGAGTTCGCCTAGAATAAAATGGATG